TGAAACGTTCACAGGGAACATAAAGAAATTGGCATAAAAATAAAGGAAGCTTACTAAATGACCATTAAAAAACACGGTCTTTTCATTTGATACAGTGATTTTTTTTCATTTTCTTTTAGAGGCGAAAACAAATTCAAGCCGAGGAATGCCAAGATAATCAGCAAATTTCTATAGACGATAAATCCAGAGAAGAGGGGCTTTAGCAACCATTAATTACAATTTTAGAAAAGTGGATAGGACTATGGAAGTGGATCATCGCGCAACCAAGTCATTCCGGAGTGTTAATAAATTCATAAGTTTTTTTTTATCATCAGATATCAAAAGATATGTTTTATGTAATAAACGGTGAACATTAATTCACGATTGCATTGGTAAATACATGTACTTCACCTCTATTTTTTTCCAATGAAATCTTGCTTACGATTGGTTGAAGTCTGCCACGTGAAGGAGGTGGATTACTTGTACTAATGCAATTGTAAATCAATACCAGGTCAATGTATTACATATTTGTTCTAACACATCGTGACATCATAGGCACTATATAGGCTTTATGAAGCATGTAGCAGAGAAAATCATTTATAAACCACAGATAATACGTAAATGTGTCATCGGTGGGGATCCGTCTCGCCAGGTATGAAATTTACTGACCAGGTATAAAACTATGTAACTAATTATATACAAATATCTGTATGTAAGTTGCCAGTGGGAAAGCAGTTATTCGAGTACTCGTCAGACTCGTTCAAACATCGAATTTTTCACACTGCATTTCCTTTGGTTTAAACTATTTGTCATGACCTTGTCAGCAAATACAATTTATCACTGAGACAAGTGCCGACTGACTTTTTCATAGTAATTGTTAGTCCATTATTTATACACTTGAATTGACAACGGATTTTTCCGTTTTTTCCCGATCATGACAAGAAGCACACGGCGGGTTAGACCGGTCAGCAGGGGATGTTCACTCCTCCATGGCACCTGATCCCTTCTCTGATGTTTCGGAGGTCCTTGTTTGTTCTGCTCCTATTTTGTATTGTTTTATGGACTTTAATATTGAATACTGTTCGTTATCTCCATATCTTTCTTAAACTATATGTCATGTATTATTTCATTTTCTTGATTCCGGATAAGTTGATGTCACGGGAATTTTAACAACTTTGCTTAAAGTAAGAATTTATTGAATTTTATTGTCGTTATAACGACCTAAGAAGTAAATATTATTCATCATTAATCCGTTTTCTTCCATGTTTCAATCTGATTGTGAGGTCATTTTATGCTGAATTTGACCATCAGATATTCTGTTCATTTTATTAATACGTAGGGCTCATGGCAGCTGTGACTGGTTAAATGGGGATGCTTTCTCCTACTAAAAACATGATCCCACCTAATGAATTTCCAGGGGTACGTATTTATGCCCTCTCCACAAATTAAATTTATATGTTTATATTTTTTGTACAAACAGCAACCGTTCGTTAGCCTGTCTTTTTTGTTTACTTGTTTCAAAAATAAAACGCCCACCTTAACGTGAACAACAACAAAGGCAAAAAAAAGTATGCGTCAAATTTTGCAATTGACAATTCAAAAAAAAAAAAAAAATAATCAAAAGTGTTCATATCCCTTCCTAAGGTAAACAGCAGTCTAAACTATATTCACTGCCTGTGGTTTCATAAATTCTAAATACAAGAATATGACCATTTCAATTAGTGATTCTCTGGATAAACATCGTCCTGACTGAAGTCGAAAATCAGTTGTAAATAAGAAAGGTAGAAGAGATAAGTCGGCATGTAAAAGGACAATTATTTCCTTTGCAGAATAGAAATTCATGTCAAACAGAATGTTTTAACGAATTTTTACTTAAAAAGGAAGTATATACTGTGGCATTCAATTCACATTTAGATATATATAGACGACATTTTATCAGTTAACAATATTCATTTTTAGTCCTACGTTGATTTCATATACATACTTAAGTATCGATATCCTTTCAAACTGAAAATAAAAGACGCTCTAGAGTCTAACATATCTGTTTCATATGTGACTATTGCACTACAAAAGACATTAACGATAACTTATTAACAAAATTTAAAGTTTCATGTGATGACTTCAACATTTCTTTCTTTAGCCTTAGACAAATGTTGCAACCACTATTGAAATAACAACCACTATTGAAATAATTATATCAATAGTAGTTTAGAGTGCATTTCAAAAGCAAACATATTTAGTAACCACTATTGAAATACAACCACTATTGAAACAATTATATCAATAGTGGTTGAGAGTGTATTTCAATAACAAACATAGGTAATAACCACTATTGAAATACGACCACTATTGAAATAATTATTTCAATAGTGGGTGAGATTCATTTCAATAACAAAGATAGGTTGCAACTCACTTTTGAAATAAAGATTTCAATATGGCTTTAATTATTGTTTTAGTTTTGAAGTATTTTCAGCAACTATCAAAATAATTATTTAAATCACTTTTGAAATTATAATTTCAATAACTATCTAAATCTTTATTTAAGGACAGATGATAAAAACAAAATATTGATGCCCGAATTGGTATATATTTTTGGTCCGATTTCATTGAAAATGATGCAAATAATAAATTTCTAGAATATAAATTGTAAACCTTCTGTAATGTTCAAAATTTGCCTCACTAAAACCATCCTTATTAATTTATAAACATTAATTTTTAATCTATATATTTTTCACCCCAAATCCAATTCTTGTGAAATTTTGGATAAAAAATTAAAAATTACGCGTTGAAAATTTTATTTCAATACTGGTCGTATTTCAATAGTGGTTGAAACTTATGTTGCAACCACTATTGAAATAACGACCACTATTGAAATAATTATATCAATAGTGGTTGAGAGTGCATTTCAATAGCAAACATAGCTAGTAACCACTATTGAAATACAACCACTATTGAAATAATTATATCAGTAGTGGTTGAGAGTGCATTTCAATAGCAAATATAGTTAGTAACCACTATTGAAATAATTAAATCAATAGTGGTTGAGAGTGCATTTCAATAACAAACGTAGGTAATTACCACTATTGAAATACTACTATTATTGAAATAATTATTTCAATAGTGGGTGAGATTCATTTCAATAACAAACATAGGTTGCAACCACTATTGAAATAATGTTCTCTTTTGAAATACAAATTTCAGGATGGATCAAATTATTGATTTTAATAGTGCATTGAACAATGAATCCAATATATGTTGAAATAATTATTTCAAAAGTTGCTGAGGCGGTGAAACTTTTCTTTCAATTCTGGTAGCATATTTCAATAGTGGTTAAAACCTATGGTTACCATATTGAAATGCACTCTCACCCACTATTAAATAATTATTTCAGTAGTGCTAGTATTTCAATAGTGGTTGAAACCTATGATTATTATATTGAAATGCACTCTAACCCACTATTGATATGATAATTTATATAGTGGTTGTATTTCAATAGTGGTTAATATCTATGTTTGTTATTGAAATGCACTCTCAACCACTATTGATATAATTATTTCAATAGTGGTCGTATTTCAATAGTGGTTGCAACAATGCATTTCCACAACTGAAGTAATTATTTCAATAGTGGTCGTATTTCAATTGTGGTTAATATCTATGTTTGTTATTGAAATATCTACACTATGATATTTATTTTATTGAAAGTGGTTGCAACAATGCACTCTCATCCACAACTGAAGTAATTATTTCAATAGTGGTCGTATTTCAATTGTGGTTAATATCTATGTTTGTTATTGAAATGCACTCTCAACCACTATTGATATAATTATTTCAATAGTGGTCGTATTTCAATAGTGGTTGCAACAATGCACTCTCATCCACTACAGAAGTTATTATTTCAATATTGGTCTTATTTCAATAGTGGTTAATATCTATGTTTGTTATTGAAATGCACTCTCAACCACTATTGATATAATTATTTCAATAGTGGTCGTATTTCAATAGTGGTTGCAACAATGCACTCTCATCCACAACTGAAGTAATTATTTCAATAGTGGTCGTATTTCAATTGTGGTTAATATCTATGTTTGTTATTGAAATGCACTCTCAACCACTATTGATATAATTATTTCAATAGTGGTTGTATTTCAATAGTGGTTATTACCTATGCACTCTCACCCACTATTGAAATAATTATTTCAAAAGTGGTCGTATTTCAATAGTGGTTAGTAACTATGTTTGCTATTGAAATGCTCTCTCATCCACTATTGTTATAATTATTTCAATAGTGGTTGTATAGTGGTTAGTAACTATGTCTGCTATTGAAATGCACTCTCAACCACTATTGATATAATTATTTCAGTAGTGGCTGTTATTTCAATAGTGGTTGCAACAAAGCACCTTCCATTTCAACTTGATCAATTTTATTATGAAGAAAATTGACGTGTATATGCAAATTCTTCAAATGCAACAACTAACATTTGTGTAGAGTTTAAATTAATTTATTTTGGGATTGCAACTTTTAATTGATGAATGTTCAAAGAAACCGCTAACAAGGTAGAAATTTTACACGTCTATTGAAAAATCTGAAACAGGTTTAAGATTAAAAAAATTTAACCCCCCCCCAATAAAAAGAGAAAACGTAATAAATCCTTTTCAGCTGTTTCCACCTCCTAGTCGAGGATTTTGTGTTTGTATTTCATAATCATTGATATCTACATTCATGATACTATTTTTTTTTTCAGCTGATTGTCGCTCTCTTCGCCATGTATCATTTGAACTTCAAATTATTCGAGTTCTTCGTATCCTTCTTGAATAGTATCGTTTAATTTTTTAATTCCTTCTCTAGCACTCTTCTAGCTTCTTCAATCTTTTGTACCTCCTCCCAAATTATTTCCTCTCATTTCCTAGCTTGGATTTCCTTCTTCATTAAAAAGAGAGCAATAAACTTATTTTGAGAGCAATAAACTTATTTTTATTTCAGACACATAATTTTCAAAATAAAAATAAAATGAATAAAATCATTAGCATGGACCACCACCACCACATCCACCACCATCACATCCACATCCACCACCGAATCCAGCAGTTACACTGAATCCTATTCCTCCACTATATCCACCACCGCCACCGCCTCCACCCCCACAACCACCGCAGCCTCCGCAGCCACCAACTCCATCACATCCACCACCACCAACATCACCATCACCACCAACATCACCTCCGCCACTAAAATCACCTCCATCTGAATCAATAACACATTGCCCTTGCTCAAATCCTACACCAGTACTATCACATACGATGCCCCCAGATCCACATCCAGCACAAACATTAGCACCATATGTATGATACATGTAGTGATTTGAGGGTGTTAGATATAGAAGACCAGCTGCCAGCATGAATGATATATCCTCATCCGGAAATCTTTGAATTATTCGTCCTCCTCTTGATGTTACTCTCGGTTCTAGAGACATTCCAGGTCGCCAGTCAGAAGGACGCGGCACACAGAGTACATGGAGAAGAGCAATAGAAAATGACAGGGCAACGTAGTTCAGAACTTGTCCAGCCGCTATTCTGCTGCAAGTGATTAGACCTTTCTTGAAATCTAACTTCAATCCTTCAAACTCTACTGGTATGTATTGTGAATGAGAAAGATTAATAAGTTGCTTTTGGAGAGGACCTTCATGACCCACTCTATAAACTTTTACCAGCAGATGGCCTGGATTTCCCGGAACTCCTCTTCTGCCTGAAAAGATATACAACTCTCTCTCTCTGTTTATATAATATTTGTAACTATTAAATATACTCACAGTCACTAGAAACGCAACACCCTAATTTTAGGGTGAAAATTATATACGGGTTATAACTACCGGTATGTACCAAAAAAGTTAGGACATCATTTACTTTGCCAAATCAGTTATTTAAGGTTGAATGAATTTCTTTCCATTACCGGAAGTTGCTTTTTAGCACTCTTAACAGAATTCAAAATTTTGCATTTTCAATAAAATTTTAACAATATTTTGGGTTCTCAAGATTTTGAAGCTGTTAGTCATAATAATTGTACAAAAATCCCGGGAAAAAATCCTTCTTTCTTTACCGGATGTGATGCCTAAATTTCCTCAAAATGACTGATAGCAGTTAGTGGATGTTTTAAGAGTTATGTGTTACCTTCCAAAGTTTAATGATAACAGTAAAAATGAATATATTTAGGCAAAAAGTAAATATACAAAAAAATTGATGCTTCATTTAAACATTAAATGTTATTTTTAGACCTTAGAAAGAAACAAATACCCGGTAACTCTTAAAACATCCCCCCTTCCGACCTTTTAATTAAAACGTGCTAGTCCGCCATATACAGCAAATGCAGCCCGATTTCTACCATGCATTAGGTTTATTAATGTCTTCATCTGAGCGAAATTAATATTCTTGGGCATTTTTAAATGCATGTTTTTCAGATACTGCGGTCGAATTTTCTCTAACTTGGCGTAGTGTAGCAACTCTTGAACTTCCGGTAGAAACTGTCATTTATGCTATTGAGATACATGAGCCTGATGAGTCGTTATATAGTGTTCATTTGCATCTGCAGCTCTTTTTTTTCTCTTTAATTTGAGAATTTCCAGCATCAGCAATGAAAATCAGTCATTTTGAGGAAATATAGGCATCACATCCGGTAAAGAAAGAAGGATTTTTCCCCGGGATTTTAGTAAAATACTTATGATTAACAGCTTCAAAACCTTGAAAACCCAAAATATTGTTAAAATTTTATTAAAAATGCAAAATTTTGAATTCTCTTAAGATGGCTAAAAAGCAACTTCCGGTAATGGAAAGAAATTCATTCAACCGTTAAATAACTGATTTGGCAAAGTAGATGATGTCCTTACTTTTTTTGGTAAATAGTTATAACCCGTATCTAATTTTCACCCTAAAATTAGGGTGTTGCGTTCCTATTGACTGTGAGTATATAAAGCCATAAAAAGATAGAGAGCGCTAACTGTTAAAATGACTATTCAAGTCTTGTGAATTTTGATTTTTCTTTTCATTGTTTATATAAATATATTACCTTATATTACCTCTTAAAAATTCGACCCACTTTCCCACGAGAATTAGAGAATCTCCCTCCTCGGTTTTGATGACAATCGCTCTTTCACCAGAACTTGGTTCTAACCAAATATTTTCCGGTCCTACCTATGAGACATTTGGTTAAAGAAAAGTATGATATTTTCTGGATAAATAAATTATGCAGTTTACTTATCATAATGATACTAAAATGTGCGTCTTTGTATGTAGCATCCTTTAAAAATAATTGGAAGTAAAAATATTTTGTGAAAACTCAAAAAAAAAGCTTGAATCATCTTTTTGATAAGATTTTTCAAATTTAATTGAAACCTACTTGATTTCTTAATGGTAGTTGATCAGAACCGATAATATGTGCAACTGCAGCCATTTCGTCATTATAGAACACATGAACAACTGACGTCATAACGTTTACGCTGTGTATAAAACGACAAGTAAACGCAATGTTTCCATTCTGGTCTCTCAGCCTATAAAATTAAACATAAATGACAGATATTCAAAATTGCAATTATTGCACGTTGTAAAAATAAAAAAATAAATTGTTCGAATCAAATAGGCTTTATAACCTGTGCTGTTCGTACCAGGATATTCTCAATTCTCGTTTCTTAACCTAGACACACCTATTGTATTTCAGGGGTCCATATTTTGCCATTTCACGATTCGCTTTGTTCACTGAATTTGGGTTTTCATGTTTATAACTTAGAAATTACATTTCAAGAGACCCAAAGCTTGTCAGTTTCCATTGGAAATCAACTAAAAGGGAACTTTATTTGAGAAATTGGATACCAAGGTGCCCCGGCTATGGAAGTAGTTTCTTCCAATACTGCGGACTTTTAAATACGATATGGGGCACCTCGGCAATTCAGAAATCATGTGGAAAATGAAAATTAAACCGAATAAATTTTTGAAATGATACAAGCAAAAAATGCACAGGAAAGTAATCAAATCGTTCAAGAAAATTGTTTTCATGTAATGTATACGCTTTTGAATGCCTTACTTGTGAGAAGCCACCTGACATAAATTTTCTGTGTCAGACTTTGGCAAGGGAACAGGACCCCAAAGTTGTTCTACATTTGTAGGCATGTTAACCTCTTCGTAAACCCCAGGCTCCAAAGAAAGTATAATGTCGTCTAGAATGGGCCGTAAGAAAGACCCCCTGACAAAACATTTTGCTGAGGACAATGTGCTCACTACTTGCATGTCCCTTTCAAACTGAAATTCACCACCTTCCTGTAATTCTGGTCGGACGAGATGAAGACCAAATCGTTCTTGAAACCCTCCTATGGATTTGGATCTTCCGCCAATTATGCTGTTTCTTGTTTCGAGCCCAAAATCAAGTGTTAAATCACAGGGGCCGAATGAAAACATATCCTGCTGACCCCACGTCATATTACCTACTTTTCCTGTCAATTTTTTAATCAGAGTAGATTTCTTTGATACAGAATCTGTTTTGAATACTTTCAACTTGATCTTTTTATAATTTTTGGCGTTTGTTGACGTGATTTTTATTTCATGAAAAGTGACAAGAGCTCTTCGTGCACAAATTCTGTCAATGTCTTGCTTTGTAAGGTGATAAAGTTTACCCCTTGGAGAATCGCCCCTGTACATAGCACCAAATTTAGAAAATTGTTCGTGGTAAGTTTCCAACCATAGCTTTCTTGTATTTTCATCAGACACCGAAAGTTTGGATCCTGGACTTCTGTCGGTCACTGTGTCATCATGAATAAGGATACGACCAAGCAGAGATTTCGTCACTCTTGCATAATCAATTGGATGAAGTTGATGAGTGTGCCAAATCAAATCAATGTCATAGCAGGGCACCAAGAATTCCTTTGGATGTATCTTTTTAAGATTCAAGTAAAATTTATATCGTACGTAGGCATCCCTGAGAAATTTGTCATCTTTGTAATGTGGCAGATGGATATTATAATAGAAATCCTGTTGTCGACGAACAGCTGCCAACAGATCAAAAGTGAAAAGTGACTTATATTCTATTATTGTAGGAGATACCTTTCCGTTCCTTATCTCTTGGCTAAGCTCAAAATTTTCACCTGGATAAGCCCAGGACCAAATCTTTTCTGTAAGATGTTTCCCAGTAGGTGACTTCATAACAGAATGATCAAGGACTCTTCCAAACAGCGACATGCAATCCTCTGCATACTTGTGAGGTGCTAGCATATGACAGTGCCACACCCATTCTATGTCAACTGGTGGATGTAAATACTCAGGCTGTAAGGTGCTTTCATTTTGGGAAGCAACAAGTGGGAGCCAAAGATTTTCGTATCTGTAAATGGAATATCGCAGCACAGATTCTTTTTTAAGGTATTCCAAACTTTGGACCTCTTTTAGAAAGTCATATTCAGCTTTAGATGCCTGAATAAGATCCACACCAAAGTTGATATTCAATAATTCTGACATTATTGCACTCTTTCAACTGCAAGTATCAAAATAAAAAAAATTACTATTTACAGCACTAAAGTCAGGCCCCGTAAAAAAGCGGGAGGGAAGGGGTCAGAGACATCCATTTTTCTGAATAGTTTTTTTTAATACTAGTAGTAAATCTTTATTTAGATACTGGTTCTCCCACTTTTCGTTACTGTAAGGCCAAGCACCGATAAATCTAGGGATTAAAAAAAAACAAACAAAAAACCCCTTCCATGAGAACAAATTTTCAAGTTTGAACAGATTATACATGTATATGTATTTTTTATTTGCTCGTCAGATATTTTTAGAGAGGTACCCTCTTTAAAACCATTGCTATGAGCCTGATAGGTATGTAAAAAGTTTTATCATATTTCAATTCCCAATCATTCTTAAGTCATCCACTGGATGAATTTTTCTGTTACCTTAATTGTCTCACTGATGCTTCGAAATTTTATTTATGGAAGGTAACACCATTTTTTATATAAATTTATTTTTTTTTAAATTATTAGGCTTCGAACGTTTTTGTGATTTTTTCTCTTTTTAGGAAATGCCAGATAAGAACTCGCTTTCTTATGTTTTAAGTAAAAACCATTTTAAAACATTTTTAGAAACACCTTGAACTAAATAACTGATCAGTCAGCAAGGGTCCACTGAGGTCTAAAAATACAAGGGAGCATCTTTCGGAGAGACTTGAATAACATTTTATTGATGAAACAAAAAAGAAACCTTGTGTATCTTGACCCCCGTGGGTTGGGTGGGGCCACAATAGGTATTACAAGGAGGAATTTGGATAAGAATAGCATGGTCAAAGCTCATGTGAGAGATGTGGTCCGTGGGCCTCTTGTCTAGTACTTCTTATGGTCATTGCTCTTATTCATATACTAAGATAACTTAGAAGAAAAGTGCTTGAATTTTTTTTTATTTTTTTTTCTAGACTAGATACAAGTGCAACATAAATGTAACACTAAACTCTATCAGTGACTCATTCGTATCAAACTTTTGAACGAATGTTCTGTTTCTATCAAATGAAACCTCTCGTTATCAAAGGATCACTTCATTATAAATAGGGATCTGCAGGCATGTTTACGAAGCTATCTTAGGACTAAGAAACGTCTTAAGATACACTTACGACAATTCTTAAGACTAAGTGGGGTTTTCGAAAGTATCGTAACTTACGAAAGTTCTTAAGAATTATCATAAAGTTACGACAGCTTTAGACATATCTTAAGTCTATCGTAAGTAGAAATACCTGTGTCCATGTTGTTGCTGGCTCGACGAAATCGTCGTATCAGACGTGATTGAGTATTAAGAGATATAGGAAGAATTCGAAAGACTGATTACTAGTATGTCGGGACCGTTAACGACAGCTGTAAAAATTGTATACCACTGTAATATATAGATTTCGTTAAATAAAATGTTTGATAAGACGTATTGATGTGTTTATCAAAACAAATGTAATATTTACAGTTCCGGTCACGTGATGGTCTGTGACTGACGAAAAATTTTGGGCTCCGCTGTTTATTTCCTAAACCTTGTTTCTATATGGTGTTAAGTGTGTTTAATTCTGTGGAAAGGAGTTTATTATTCAATATTGGTGAGTTTTGCATTAACTTTGGGCTTAGTGTAGCGTAAGAAGTGTGCTGTTTAAATCTACGACATTCTTCATTGTCTTCATTGTGAACACGTATTCACTCACGCATTCACTCACGATGCCTTCGGATAAAGCGGGATCTAACAAAAAAACACCAGACAAAGAACAAATAAAACCAAAAAAATTTGTGCAGCTAGATTTAAAAGCTGCACCTATGTCTATAAGAAAATCCGTTGTTTCTGAGAAAGCTGCAGTGAAAAAACCAAGAACAAGTAGCGGCGATCACTCCCTCAATCAAGACGATAGTCAATCAGAACATCACGATATTACTTACGATCTTAAACAAATTCAGGACAGTCTCACTGAGATTAGAGAATCTATGGTTAAGAAATCGGATGTAAAACTTATAGTTTCAGAGATTTTGCTCGAAATGAAAAATGAACTGAAAGGTGAAATAAAAAAGGAAATAATTTCAGAAATGAAAGAAGATTTCGAAAAGGGTATTAAAAACAAAGTTAAGGAAGAATTCGAGGAGAAAATAGAGAGAACACATAAAGAATTCCAAACACAAACGAAAGAGATTTCTGATGGATTTAATCTTGATTTTGACACTCTTAGAGAAAAACTAAGTGTACAGGCAAGGGAATTGAGGGACTTGAAGAAACAACTGCAGACATGTGAATCTATTGCAGGGTCTGCAATCACCCTCGCTAATCAAAACCAGCAGTATTCTCAAAAATCTAACATAAAATTTATGAATTGGGCAGAGGAGAAAAATGAAAATCTTAAACAAAGGCTATGTGCGACACTCAAGGAAGCGGTGAACGTTGACCTTGACCCCGCAGATGTCCTGGCGATCCATCGGATTCCCGGAGGAGATGGAAGAGGACCACGACCTGTGATCGCAAAATTTCGAAACACCGACATCAAGATCATGGTAATCAAAAACAGAGCTGACAAAAATCTTCAAAAGATCTTCACCATGCACGATCACCTAACACAATTGAACGCTAAACTGGTGCGCGACTTGAACAATGATCCGCGAATTCATGGTGCATGGTATTTTAATGGAAAAGTGTTTGCACACGACGAAGAAGGAAATCGATACAAATTTGACATTTTAGACAACGTGTCTGAAAAATTGAAAGGGTACTAAATAATTACTCAAATATGCAGCGGAGTGGACTTTGCGAAAATATCACATTTTGACTGTGAGATCGGGCTCGATATTCGGTAAATTCAGATCATGTTTACTTTTTGTGTAAGTGTGTCGGTGAGTGTGTGTGTATGTCCCCCTGTTTTTTTTAATATCATTATGTGTTTTCATTATTCAGAAAGATGGTGTTTTCATTTTCATATTCGAGTCTCTTTATTGCTTTTTTCTAAAACAGTACAAACTAAATAAGTAGCTCAATAAAACTAGCAACGGTGAATTGTCAAGGCTTGGCAACAGGTACCAAGAGACAGGATGTTTTAAATTATTATAAGAAAAAAGGTTTTTCAATTCTGTGTTTGCAAGATACTCACTTTACTAAAGAAATAGAACCTTATATTGAAACACAATGGGGATATAAATGTATTTTTAATTCGTACAAGTCAAACTCTAGAGGGGTATGCATTCTCTTTAATAACAATTTTGAATTTCATATTCACAGGGAGAAACAGGACGATTATGGTAATTTATTAGCTCTCGATATGACAATCGAGGATAATAAAGTTACTTTAATTAATATATATGGACCAAATTCTGACAATCCAGAGTTTTATGAATTAGTAAGAGAGACATTTTTAGAATTTGATAATGATTACTTTATTTTATGTGGTGATTTTAATCTGGCTCTTGACCCTTCAATAGATACAGAAAATTATTGTAACATTAACAATCCAAAGGCAAGAGAAAAACTTTTAGAAATTATGAATGACTTACAAATAATAGACTACTTTAGGGTTTTGAATCCAAATTTAAAAATATTTACATGGCGAAAGAAAAATCCAATAAAACAAGGACGATTAGATTATATTTTAATTTCTGAAAATATGTGCAACTTGGTTGAAAATTTAGTAATTAAACCAGGGTACAGATCTGACCACTCATCAGTGGTTCTCGATATAAAATTCAATACCTTTAAGAAAGGGAAAGGTGTCTGGAAATTTAATAACTCTTTACTTGTAGACAAAACATACGTTACCAAAGTGAAAGAAACAATAAAATCTGTTAGAAACAAATACGAAAAGAATAAAGTGCTTATAGAAAATATGGATAACAGTACATTTTTTGAAGTCCTTCTAATGGAGATTAGAGGCATTACTATTTCATATTCATCATATAGAAAGAAAGAAAAAAATAAAGAAGAAGCCTTGTTAATTGCACAAATAGAAAAATTAGAGGCAGAGAATATCGGAACATTAAATCTACATTTAATAGAGGAGAAAAAAACAGATCTTGAGAATTTAAGAAAAGAAAAGTTACAAGGTCACATCATAAGATCTCGAGCCAGATGGGTTGAATATGGAGAAAAACCATCTCAATATTTTTGTAAATTAGAATCCCGTAATTATTTGAATAAGATTATCAAAAAGATTAAAACAGAGGAAAATGAAACTATTTACAATCAGTCAGAAATTTTAAATAAAATCAGGATGTATTACAAATCTCTCTATACTTCTGTAGATGCAGAACTTCTCGACATAGATCTTGCAGAAATTATAACAGTTACTGAGGTTCCAAAACTTGAAAACCATATTGCCAATACACTTGAGGGAAAAATTTTGGAAAGTGAAGTCTTAGAGGTGTTAAAAAACATGAAAAACAATAAGTCACCCGGAAGCGATGGCTTTACCGCAGAATTTTTAATTTTTTTTGGTCAGATTTAAAACATTTTATAGTACTTGCCATAAATGACATATTTCAGAGGAAAGAACTTCCCATTTCTCAAAGATTAGGGTTAATTACATGCTTACCAAAAGGTGATAAGCCAAGAGAATTTTTGAAAAACTGGCGACCTATCACACTTTTAAATGTGTTTTATAAACTTTTATCAGGTTGTATTAGTCATAGAATAAGATCCACCCTGGACAGTATCATATCAAATACTCAACTTGGATTTTTAAAAGGAAAATATATATAGGTGAAAATACCAGATTTCTTTATGATCTTATGGATTACACTGAATCTAGAAATATACCGGGATTGCTTGTACTTATAGACTTCGAAAAAGCTTTTGATTCAATATCCTGGACCTTTGTGTATAAAGTATTAGAATTTTTGGGGTTTGGTAAAAACATTATTGAATGGGTAAAAATTCTAAATACAAAATTTTGTGCGTCAGTGCTTCAATGTGGATTTTTATCCGAACAGTTTTATATCCAAAGAGGATGTCGTCAGGGAGATCCCTTGGCACCTTATCTGTTTCTTCTTT